GACGCGCACATTTCTTGGATCTCGCTTTGCCTTGCATGGCAGGTTGCAGCGTTCCTCGTATCTCAACGTGCTCCTCCTGCTCTTTGTTATTTTCCAGGTTTCCGCCGATTGCGATACTCGTTCCGCGATGTTCTAAGCGCTGCGCCAGGGATGAGAAGGCTTGCACATCTTTCACTGCGCTCTGAAAGCGCATGTGCGATCGTGTGGATTCAACCGCCCGTGGACCAGAGGTATGGCGAGACGCGCGCTTTTCTGCGATCTTGTGTTGCCTTGCATGGCAGGTTGCAGAGTTATTCGAATCTCCATGTGTTTCTCTTGCTCTTTGTTATGTTGCAGATGTCCGCCGTTTGCGATATTCGTTCCACCACTTTAAGAGCGCCGTACCAGGGATGAGAAGGCCTACACATCTTTCACTGCGCTCTGAAAGAGCATGTGCGATCGTGTGGATTCAACCGCCCGTGGACCTGAGGTATGGCGAGACGCGCGCATTTCTGCGATCTTGTGTTGCCTTGCGTGGCAGGTTGCAGAGTTCCTCGTATCTCCACGTGCTCCTCCTGCTCTTTGTTATTTTCCAGGTTTCCGCCGATTGCGATACTCGTTCCGCGATGTTCTAAGCGCTGCACCAGGAATGAGAAGGCCTACACATCTTTCACTGCGCTCTGAAAGCGCATGTGCGATCGTGTGGATTCGACCGCCCGTGGACCTGAGGTGCGGCGAGACGCGCGCATTTCTGCGATCTTGTGTTGCCTTGCATGGCAGGTTGCAGAGTTCCTCGTATCTCCACGCGCTCCTCCTGATCTTTGTTATTTTCCAGATTTCCGCCGACTGCGATACTCGTTCCGCGATGTTCTGAGCGCCGCACCAGGGATGAGAAGGCTTACGCATCTTTCACTGCGCTCTGAAAGAGCATGTGCGATCGTGTGGATTCAACCGCCCGTGGACCTGAGGTGTGGCGAGACGCGCGCATTTCTGCGATCTCGTTTTGCCTTGCATGGCAGGTGGCAGAGCTATATATATATATATATATATATATATATATATATATATATATATATGCACATCTGCCGGCGGAACAGGAGCGAGGCCGCCAGGAGTGTGCCTGCGCCCTCCATGGGGGCTCCGGGGCTCACTTTCCCTGTGTTTTTACATGGTTTCGGCGTTCCAGGGCCTCCGAGGGAGGCCGCCAGGAGTGGACCTGCGCCCCCCATGGGGGCTCCGGGGCTCACTTTCCACAGGGTTTCGGCGTTCCAGGGACTCCGAGGCGCCAGCGGCGACCCCGGACATCTTGTTGACCTTCGGACGGAGGCCCAAAACCAGCCCCAGAGCGCTCCAAGACGGCCCACGACGCCTCCTACACCGCACCAAGACGGCCCCAGAGAGCTCCAAGCGGCCCCCACGACGGCCCAAGAGGGCTCCAAGACGGCACAAGAGGCACCGAAAACGGCCCAAAGGAGTTCCGACACGGACCCCGAGAGGCGAACAAAAAAAACTCACAGAGGCCCTCCACATGCCCAGGCCGCCCAAGGGGCCCCAAAAGGCCCCGAGATACACCAAAGCATACCCCAAGAGGCTTGAAAAACTGCGTCTCACCCTGCTTTTCGTCCGCCTTATCACCTTCCTGCTCCTCATTTCTTTTGGTTGTCCAGCTCTCTCCCGGTCTCAGGAAACATAGACATATTCCCGGAACTGCCAGGAACAGCACTCCTCGAGTGTTTTTTTTTGGTCTTCGCCGCCCTGCTCCATCGTCATTCCCTGATCCTCCGCCTGCTGCGGCTGCTCTTCATGCTACTCCCGCACCTCCCCCTTCCCCTCCTCCCGCTCCCCTTCTCCACCTTCTCACCCACCTGCTTGTGGAGCTCTCTCCCGGTCTCTCTAAGTATGTTCCCAGAACACCTGCCGGAAACATAATTTCTTTGCTTGCGTTCAAGTGTTTCTTTTGTTCTTCGCCACCCTGCCTCTTCGACTTTCTTCCCATGTCCTCCTCCTGCTGCGGCTGCTCAACATGCTACTCCTGCACCCCCCCTGTCCTTCTTCTACCTCCTCCTGCTCCCCCTGAACCTCCCTGTCTCCCGCTCCCCTTCTTCTCCTCCTCACCCTCCTTCCCTTCCGCCTACTCCTTATGTCCTGCTCGTCCTGCTCCCCCTCCTCTTCCTGCCGCTCACCTTGTCCTGCGTGTCCGTCCTCCTCGTCCTTCTCATCCTCCTGCTCCTCCCCCTCCTCTTCCTCCTCCTCCTCCTCCTTCTCCTCCTCCTCCTCGAGATTCCTCCTCCTGCTCTAGCCCTCCTCATCCTTCCTGTCCTCCTCCTTTTCGGGCTCCTCCTCCTGCTGTCACGGAGTATGTTCTCGGGAAGCTTCCCGGGAATGCAATTCCGCGTGCCTCCCTTTCTCCACCTCGCCGATATTATCCTCCTTCTCGTTCCCCTCCTCTTCTTTCTCGGGCTCCTCCTCATCCTATCGCGCGAGATGTTCCCAGGAAGACTCCTGGGAACATAGGTCCCATCCCCTTGCTCAAGCGCCTGATCCCTCCTGGGCGGCCCTTCCCCCTCCTCCTCCTTCCTCTGATCCTCCTCCTCTGGCTGCTGTTCCTCCTATTCCTGTTCCTCTCCCTCTTCTTCCTCCGCTTCCTCCTGTTTCCCCTCGACTTCTCCGTCTCTCTCCCTTGCTTCTGCCATGTGTCCTTCCTCGTCACTCCGCGGGTCGTGGGGCCGAAGAGTCTCGGAGGCCGATGGGTCGTGGGGTCGCGATTGAGGATCTTCGACCCTAGAGGTCAGGGGCGTCCAGGGACCGAAGGATTCGGGGGGCTCCTGGGGCCGACTTCAAGGGTCGTGTGGCCTACGGTTCCCAGAGATATCCGGACCGGGGGGGCGCCCGGATCGGGGGGCGTCCGGGCCAGGGAGGGGGGGGGGGGAAGGGCAGAGGATATTGAGGAGGAGGAGGAGGAGGAGGAGGAGGAGGAGGAGGAGGAGGAGGAGGGGGAGGGGGAGGGGGAGGAGGAGGGGGAGGAAAAGAAGGAGGGGGAAGAGGAGGGGGAGGAGAATAACGTGTAGGGAGCAGAAGCAAATTAGGAAGGAGGAGGAGGAGGTGGTGCAGGAGAAGGAAGGGAACTCAGGAAACGGAGGAAAGAGACAGGCGAGGAAGGGGAGGAGGAACAGGACGAAGGAGGAGGAAGGAGAGAAGAAGGAGGAGGGGAAAGGGGGGGAAAAGGGCGGACGTATATATGTACATATACACATAAAAAAGGCCAGCCTTGATACTTATGCTAGGGCTTTGCCGTGATCTTGGCTAGAACCAAAGCGCGCGCGAAGCGCGCGCGATGGTTCTAGTGTATATATATAGAGAGAGAGCATCTATATTTTCTCGAAACAAAAAACCAAAACAAAAAACGGCCCCTGCTTCTTCGAAGGCGCGGGCCTGATCCAGAGATGCAAGGCCCGCGCCTTCTAAGAAGCAGCCTCCTCCTAAGACACCTTCCCCCTCCCCATGCCCCTTTCGTGCGCGCCGCCAGGGCTCGCCCGTCCCCTCCTTGTCCCGCTCCTGCTCCCGCTGCTCCCGCGCCTCCTCCCCACTCGGAAGCTGGTGCTGCGGCTGCTGCTGCTGCTGCTGCTGCTCCTCCTCCTCCTCCTCCTCCCTCCTCCTCCTCCTCCTCCTTCCTCCTCCCTCCGCCTCCTCCTCCTCATCCTCTTCCTCATCCTTCCTTCTCCTCCTCCTCCTCCTCCTCCTCCTCTCCTCCTCCTCCTCCTCCTCCTCCTCCTCTCCTCCTCCTCCTCCTCTCCTCCCTCCTCCTCCTCCTCCTCCTCCTCCTCCTCCTCCTCCTCCTCCTCCTCCTCCTCCTCCTCCTCCGCCGCCGCCGCCGCCGCCGCCGCCGCCGCCGCCGCCGCCGCCGCCGCCGCCGCCGCCGCCCCCTCCTCGGGCCCCCGGGGCCCGCGGCAGCGCTGCTCCCTTGCCGGGCGCCGCTCCTGCAGGCGCTGTCTCGGATGCCGGGGCCCAGGTGAGACGGGGTTCAGGAGGGACAGAAACACACAGACACAAATATTCCTCGATTCCCCTTAAGATATGGGAACATATGCGAAGTGGGGGGAAGACGAAAACCTAGGAAATATGGGAAACTATGGGGGATCCTGTTCTTTGTGTGTATCTGTTTGTGTGTCCCAGGGCCCCTTCAGAGGTCCATGCAAGCGGGGGTCAGCCAGGGCGCCGGATCTTGCAGGAACCTGCTGGGCCCGGGGCGCACTGGCCCGGGCTTGGGTGCAGGATCCTGCAGGATCTCGCAGGATCCTGCGAGGCACGAGTGGCCCGGGTTTGAGTTGACCCGGGCCAGTGGGCCCTCGAAAATGGGAGCTCCGCGCTTCCCTTGGAAAGACTGCTCAATGGCGGCCCGCTCGCAGGCCTGGCAATTGGGTCAGTGATCCTCCAGCTCCTGGGCTCGAGCCCTCCCAAGTGGGTTCCGAGTGGATGGAGTCGGAGGGTCGCGCCGCATCGTCGATGCATCGTCGATGCGGCTCGACGTGGAGCCCGATTTTCTCCACGCCGACGTTGCCGATGCAGCGCCGATGCATCGCCGATGCGGCGCGATCCTCCGACACGGGCTTTCTGGCAGCCTCTAAGGGGGCCTCCTGGGGCCCGTTGGGGGCCCCTCGTGGGCCCCTGGGAGCCTCTGAGGCTCTGAGGTGAATCTTGGCCTTCGGGGGCTGTCTTGGGGGCATCTCTTGGGGCCCTCTACCCAGACCCCAGACGTCATGTTTTGTTCATGACGTCAACCCCTGAGTCGTTTTTGACGGTCCCGGGGCCCGATAAAGGGGCTCCCCGAGGCCGAATTTGAGAAAAAGTCCCCGTCGTGGTTTCTTTTCAGGACCCGAGGGCGTCGGGGTTCTCGGGCCCCATGTGGGAGGCCTCCGTGGGCGGGGCCCCTGGGCCCCAGCTGGTGAGCCGCACGGCTGCCCGCAGCCGCGACCCCGCCGCGCGCCGGCGCTCCCGTCCCTTGGCGCCCCCCGCTGTGGCAGGCCGCCGCGATGGCCGAGAGGCCCAAGGACTGGCTGACGAGCGGCGTGTTCGGACAGGTCGGGGGAGGGGGCGAAGGGGGGAGAGAGAGAGAGAGAGGGAGGGCAGGGCAGACGAGAGAGCGAGAGAGGGAGAGAGGATGAACGAGCGAGCGAGAAAGAGCGAGAATGGATTGCTGGACGCGGTGCCCGCGCAGTGCTGGCCCTGTGGCGCTGCCCGGTGCGGGGCGGCGCGTGGTGGCGCCGGCGGCGGGTAGCCTGCTTCTCCTCCCCCCTCTTCTTGTCTTGTGCCTTGAGGGATGTGCGATTGGACTAGGGAGCGAGAGAGAGAGAGAGAGAGAAAGAGAAAAAAAAAAAAAGAGAAAAAAGAGAGAGAGAGAGGGCGGGAGAGAGGGTGCGAGAGAGATGGAGAGGGCAAGTCAGGTGCACTCGCGTCATATGTGGCGTCCTACCCCTCCCTCCCATCCCTTACCATGGCGTAGATATCCTCTCTATTCGCACAGTCGGATGTCGACCAGGGCAGTGATCGCGAGAGCGTACGCGATGCACGGTAGAGCGCGGCATGGAATGGCGTAGAAGAGCACGGCAAAGCGTAGCATACCATAGCACGACGAGGCATTGCGCAGTGAGGCATTTCATCACAAAGCGTTGCAACGCAAATCGTGCCATCGCACAGCGGCGCAGAGCACACCACCGCATAGCATGTCATGGCATGGCGCCAGGTTCTTTGGAGGGTAACTAAGTGGATCGTCTTCGAAAGGTCTGGGCTGGTCTGGAGTCGTGGCTCCATGTCTAGCTCCTTGGGCAGCCCGAAAAGCTCCACGCAAGGCGGGGCTGATGGAGAGCAACCGCCAGCTCTGCTTCCAACATCGCTTTCGCAAAGCAGAAACGGGGCTCCCTCTTGATACTTCCTCAAAACGACGACGCCCCCAAGTGGGGGGGCGGCGTCTGCGGCCCCCCAAATAAACAAATCAGCACCGAGTGTGTAATCACTTCCGATGGTATTTTCCGGGGGGGGCATTTTCCAGATTTGGGGGCCTTCGGCAGGAAGACCAGCTCTGCAGCGGGAGTACGATCCGGAACGAGCGCGAACGCGGAAATGAGGCCATCGTTGCAGCGGGAGCACGATTCGGAACGAGCGGAAGCTCGAAAATGAGGCCAACGCTTCAGCGGGAGCAGCATTTCGAACAAACCCAAGGGAAAACCCGTTTCCCGGAAGTCCCTTGTGTAAAAAACTGCGCGCGGAGGGGAGCCGGATATCTTCAGATGTCATCAGGGGAGAGAGAAGAGTCGAAACCAATTGCCTTAGCCAACTCAACCTGCCAACCCGTCCAACCAGCCAACCAGCCCACCCAGCCACCCAGCCAACCCGTCAGCCAACCAGCCCAGCCGCCCACCCCGTCACCCCGCCAACCCGCCGATCCCCTCCGCCTGCTCTCCGTGCCCAACCAGCCACCCTGCCAACCCGCCCTCCCCCGCCGCCTGCCTTCCGTCACCGCCGAGAGGGGGGGGAAATGTTTCTTACCAGCGAAAGCCCGAAAACTAATCGTTACGCCCTCCCTGGGACCCGCGGGACGGCGGGGAGGGGGCAACCCGCACCGCAATGCAGGGCCAAGATTCGCGCCAGGGTGTGCCCGGGACGGTTGTGTGCCTCAAGTGTGACACTGTAGCTCCCATCCTTGAAACTGTCGCCAATTTTGAGGCCCCGCGCGTGGGTTTTCAGAGAGCTGCCAAAAGGCCCCTGGAGGCCTCAGGAGGCATCAGGAATTTCCAGGAGACTTCGGGACGCCCCCGGAGGCCATGGGAATCCCAAGGACGCCCCAGGACGTTCCAGGATGCCCCGCGAGGTCCTTCAAGGCCCCACGAGAGGGAGGAAGA